CGAACCCATTCACCGTTATCGACAACCCTATATGATAAATATGTTTGGTAATATTAGTTGATAAGATAGTTGAAATAAAAATTACAACGAACTTATTTGAAAAGCTACGTAAAGAAGCTTATGAGATTAACTCGAGCTTTTTAGAAATGCTCGTCATACCAAACAAAGCTTATTTAATTAAATGAAGTTTATAAGCTATAAGCTAGCTTATTTGTCTACCAAACATAGTTTATTTGTTTAGTGGGTAAGTTAAAGTAGTCTCTAGACTCCCGTCGCAGGGTAGTCTCCCTAGAGTCAGCTAGATAATTGTTTGGCTAATTCTATATGTTGTCTAGTTGTATTTATGTGTTTTTATCTATAAAATTTGTCTTTAAATATACAAGGTCGGGATAAAAGAGATATTAAAGCTTAAAAGTAGGTGTAAAATTAATTAAAGAGGAAATTTTATGCATGCCTTATTACCACACCAGTAAGGACAATAAATTTTTGAACCTACATCAATCGTTTATGTTACATCAAGGGTTTATCACTTTATTCATTTAGGCGATGAGTTCCAAAATTCCTGAGGTCCAATTTTCAGCTTAAAACTGAAGCTTTTCGACACTCAACAATCTGACACTAACCCAAAACAGACATTCATACAGAATAAACACTGCATATAGTACCATTACTTCCCTGCATTTGATGATAATTCACAGTAAATATCAATCTCAAGCTAATCACCTAAACCACAAACAGTCAGTCAATCAACCCAGTCCACCAATTCATGTTTAATCACCACAAAAGAATCAATTTCAAAACAACCAGTGTCAATAACATCATCTTCAACTGCTCCCGAAAAACAAAAAAAAGAAAATTGAAAAAAATAAAATAAAATGAAAGTCAACATCCACCGTTATCTACAGCCGCACTACAGCCATCGATTTCGTCATGCAGGACGACGCATCCAGCCCATTGGCCACCCGGTTCCTTGAGATGTGTCCCCATCCCTTCCCCGTCTCAAACACCGTCACGAAATCCAACACCTGCCCGAAAATCTTAAACATCTCCACCCCAAATATTTTCCCATCGTCCCCCACAAACGCCGCATTCCAGTCCATGGGCGCATCCGGGTGGGCCCCCACCTCCCTCCACCCTCCCCCCCCAAAATCAACCTCCCACACCTTCCTCACCGCCTTATTCCGCCTCCCGATCTCCCCTTCCCCCTCGCACCACGACACCGACACCATGAAAACCCGCCCCCCACACCCCACCATCTTCGGGTAGTACTCCCTAACACGGGCCGGGGCCGGGCCCTGGCCCACCTGCACCCTCACCCAATACCCCTTCTCCACATCATACCCCGCCAGCACATCGCTCTCCGAATACACGTAAAAAACCCCACGGCACGCGGCCCCCGCGCACGCCACCCCGAAATCGAGCGGCAGCCGCTGGATCTCCGTCCACCTGTTCAAAACCGGGTCGTAAATTTCGCAAGAATCCAGCGGCTCGTCCCACGGCCCGAGTCCCCCGACCGCAATCATCACGAAGCCCGATTTCAGGCCCGAGACCGCGCAGCAGCTCTCGCTCGACTGCCGCCGAACTGACAGCCTGTGTGGATCCTCGTAGACGTCCGAAGCCCCTGACCGGGCCCGGTGGAACCGTCTCTCGGGCCTGACCGAGCAATAATCCGCGCCCACCTCGGAAATTCCGAGGACTGGCGACGAGCGAGCGTGCCTCATGGCGGCCGCCTTGCGCCAAGATTTGGTCGACGGGGTGAAGACGAGAATACCCTTGTGGGTCTTGAACGAGCTCCTGTCGACCCTCCCGAAATTCGCGAGGCTCGAGCAGCCGCCGACGACGTAAACCTCGTCATTTAATGTGGCGACGGAGAAAAGGAACCTTCCTTTCAAGGCGTGAGAATCGATGCGGTGCCACCTGTCGAGGGAGACGTCGAGAGCGTGTATCTCTCCCGAGCAGTAGCCGTCGCGGACGAAACCGAAGAGGAACAGCCACGGGGTTCGGTGGGGGCCTTCTCTCCGGGCCTGCATGAAGCGAGCGGACGAGGTGAGTGCCCGCCATTTTCGGCAGACGAGACGGGCAGTCATGAGGCTGGAGATGGGGAGACGAACGAGACACATCTCGAGGATATCGTCTGGAAGGCGCGAGTTCATGTTAGTGGGCCCACCGCCGGGAAGGACGAGACGTTTGTGGGAGCCACGCCGGAAGAGTTTTTCGCGCACGGCGTGGGAGAAGCAGTCGATGTTTGTCCCATCTTTTGTGGGTTTTTTCCTGTCCTCGCTGGCGCTTGAACGCCGCCTGCCGCTCGTCGGGTGGTGGTGGTGGTGGGCGGAGTCTTCGGACATGTCGGCGCTCACACGGCAGCCGCCGCCACGGGCGTAGAGGGTGAGGCATCTCAGGGAAACGCCGGTGGTTTCGTGCTCGTATTCGTTGGATTCTTCGGGAGATTCGGTTTTTGGGGTTTTTGTTTTCAGTTTCTGGCTTACGCTACGCACGAGGCGTTTGGAAACGCTCAGGGCTTGGAGATCGTGGGTGATGAGTTCTTGTTCGGGTGATCTCTGGGAGGTCATCTTGTTTACCCGTTTCTGGACAGTGTGTGGGACGTGAGTCTTGAGTAATGGAAATTTTTTGCCTACCTGCATCGACAAGAAACGATATAGTGGAAATTCAGAGAGTTGAGAACTAGGAATGAAGTGGATAAAACTTACAAGTAGAAAAATGTATCAAGAATTTATCGGACAAAAACTAATGAGACACACGGGGAATTCAACAAAGACTTCATCAGTCAGGATTGCATTTGGCTGTTGCTTTATAAGAATAGTGTCGTCTAACGTATGCCGCACCAGGGAAAATGAGCGGATTACGGACAAAGCGAAACATGATTCTACGCTATTCGACTTATTCACTGAAAAATGTGAAGTTTTCAGCCAATTTCATGCTCCTCAATACAAGAAAATGAACCTCTAAGGCATCTTCTCCAACCAGGTACTCTACAAGGCATTTTGACTTCTAAATAGTGATATCACCATCCAGAACTCAATACTCTAAAGGGGTGTTTATATTATCTTGCTCTCATTGTTTTTACTGCAAATCAAAGCAACATTAGCTGATTAGAGTTCCCTAACAATCCCAATTGAGAAGAATCACCAGTGGAAAAAGAACACAAGTCACACAAGTACTATACCTTTACAAGGACAAATACATGGCCCAAATCGAGCCGAAGCTTAGTAAGTACTGTAATTTACAGACCTTCTCAATGATTGTAGTACTTCCAATTTCTCAAAAGATAGGTTTTCAAGAAAAATTAGAAAGGAAAAGGGTCAGGGACGGCTACACATTTACACAACTGGAAAATTATATACAAACACAAACACAATTCTAAAGGGTCGGTCACATACAGAAACACAAACACAATTCTAAATCCAACAATTTCAAAAAGTATATAGAAAAATGAAATGAAAAATGAAACCGCAGATCCACCCTCAAGAACAACACCTAATGCATCAAGAAAGTTGATAGACATAAAACAATAGCAGCAGGTGAAAATCAACAAGAAAAAAGTCCCAAAAAACAAAATTAAAAACACGAATAGATGAGAGAGAAAGAAAGAATCTTGAAATCACAGTGCAGCGTCACAAACCAGAGTTAGCTTCGCAGAGGCTGAGGATTCACTCAAGAAATGATAAGGGGCAAGCCCATGAGATCCAATCCGCACAAAAGATCAAATCTTTAACCTCCGGACAATATAAAATTTCCTTCATCTTGTGAGAACATGGAGAAATTATGCTCAGAATATTTTTTTTTCACACGATGGGCCTTCCCCTTTTCTTTTTATTTTTTTCCTTTATGTTGGTTGGGAGCGACTTTTCTTTCTCGGGTATTTTTGGTTTTTTGTTTTTTGTTTGTAAAAGCGAAAGTGATGAGTGATGAGTGATGGCCCGACCAACCTGATTAAAAATATTATATTATAATTTCAAAAGAGACCATTGGCCTCTCTCTCTCTTCAAGCATTCTTCTCTCTAACCTCTCTCTCCCTCTCTCTCTTCAAGTATTCTTCCCTCTGCCTAATGTCTTTGTTCTGTAATATTTTTCATTCTGATATTATTTTCCCTTTTCCTAGTTAATTATTTGGGGATAAAAATTGTATGGGGTGTCCAAATGCTCACTCTCTCTCTCTTCAGGTTAAATTTGTTTTTGTTTTGATTGGATTTTTGATTTGGGTTGGTTAAATTTGAAAAAGTAGGTATGGTTAATTGTTAGTGGATATAATAAAATAATATTTAAAATAAAATAATTAAAATTAAATTGATGTAAAAGTAAGAGAGAGAAGATATGATGTGATAGTTAGTTAAATTTATGTGAGTAGATGAATAGTGAATTAAGGTTGATGTTGTGTGTAAGAATGATTGATTGATATTATTTAATTATATTGATAATATTAATGATAGTGGGTTGAGTTAAAGTTGAGTTAAAAAAAGTGGTTGAGTTAAAAATGAAAAAAAAATTGGATTGAACTTGTATCCAATCATGCTGTATACATTTCGTTTGTTTATTTTATTTTCTCCACTAACATTTTTCAATTTAATGTTTAAATTATAAGTCAATTATAACTATACACTAGTGAGTGTAATTGGATATAACTAGACTAATAAAAAAACAATCAAAATACAAATTTAACTCAACTTTTAACTAAATTCTATTATTTTCAATATTATCAATACTAGTACAATACCCGTTTACACGAGTATACTTGTTAAGAAAATTATATTTAAAATTAAATAATAATAACAACAAAAATTATTTTAATTTTTAAATACTTTTTTGAAAAATATATCATAATTTATATTTAAATTGACACCGTCACTTACACGACTTACCATCTTATATTATATATTTATCTAATTTATACTATTAGATAACTACTTTGTAGTTTTTTTTTTACGAAATGATAAGATTTTATAAAGCTCCCAAAAGGAGAATGACCGATCCCAATAGGATAATGTCCGCTCTCACTCGGGCTCACAGAAGCCAACGGCCCAAACCAAAAATACAAATCCTAAACAACAAACACACAGATAAACTAAAACTAGCAACACCTAAACAAACAAGCACAACCCTTCCCCAGCAGAATAACCGAGCCCAACACAAGGCACCAACGGAATAAGGGCCGACGATTCCTAAAGCTTAACCCGAAATCCAGAATGCCGCTCCCGAAACTGCCTAGTGCCTAGTTGGAGCCGAGTCCCGGAACCTCGAACCACTCCCAGGTTGTAGCCGACCCCAAAGCCGGACGCCAGTGGCCAGACCCCACCCCACAACCCACCACCCCGAACCCGGCCATCACCACTGGCCCAAAATCCGAGAATGCTGGACTTCTCCGACCTTCACACCAAAAAGAGTAGCGAAACGGGGGGGTCGAGCCCGCTCGCCACAGAAAATAGTGAGCCAGGGCCACACCCCACCCACAGTCCCGCACCACCACCCAGCACCACTATGGAACCAGGGAGCCGACAATCGCGACCACGACCAGCAACCAAAGCACGACGAAATCCGGTAGAAGGGCGACCATCTTCCTCCATCGGTGCAAACGGGCGAGAATAGCGCAAAATAGGGTAAAGGGAGCGCAACTAAGGGCCATCCACCGGCAATAAGGCCGACGAAATCGCGGGGAAGGCACGCAGAGAGATTGAATCGACTACTTAAAAATATGAAAGTGTTCAATGATGCCCTCTTAGTTAAGCAGTTATGGAGGATTTCTACTTAGCCTAATCTTCTCATTAGTAATGTTCTGAAGGGGAGATATTTCCTTAGAATGAACCTTACTGAAGCTAAGCCAAAGAATATGGTGATTCTTGGCTTGGGAAAAGCTGGCTTGGAGTTAAGGACTTTCTGTTTATGGGATCTAGGTTCCAGGTTGGAATGGTAGAAATATCAAAATTTGGGATTCCCCTTGACTGCCTAATTCCCCTCTCTTTAAACCCTCTTGCCAGTTTCCTTTAGACAAATCCAATCTGTTAAGTCTGCTTATGAGGCCATCTTGAATAGAGTTTTATTGTTGAGGGAGTCCCCATAGGCTAGTGAGACACTTTGCAGTAGGAAAAAGATGTGGGCTTCTACATGGAAGCTCCCTGTCAAGAATAAAATGAAACATTTCCTATGGAAGTGTTGGTTTAATTTTTTGAGCTCCAAAGACTAACTGCTGAAAAGAAACCGGTGGATGATGGTATTTGCTCTCTTTGTGGGAATGGAGTTGAGGACCTTGATCACATCCTGTTCAATTGCTATAGGGCAAGATTGGTGTGGAAGTTAAGTAGTGTTCAGTGGAGTTCTTTGTCTTACCTGAACTCTGCTTTTAGATTGTGGTGGGGTGATGTAAGTAAGGCTAGGTGGTCTGGTAGCCTCAAAGATAGGATTAGTTTATCAACTTATATTCTTTAGTGGCTCTATAAAACAAGAAATGTGTGAGTGTTTAGGCAGGAAAGAGTGACTGAAAGAGAGGTAGTTGATACGACTAGGGCTGAAAGAGTTGAATTTGTTGATGTGGATGCTAAGATTGAGTTTACAGGGTGTGCCATCAGGTTGGTTAGGAGAGTGAAGAATGTTTTTCCAAAAGGGTAGGCCAGTGGTTGCTCACTACCAGTGCCTATTATTCTTCATATGACCAACTTTCAGTGTCCTATGCTGCTTCGAAGGAGGGAGAATCTACCAAGACCTGGGAAGAGAGCTTATGGTTTTCAGGAAGCAGTAAGGGAATGTGGCTAGTTGCTATGAGGTGGACTTTATTGAAGGCCTTGCATGCTGGTTAGAGGAGGGTTGGTTGTTGTCTGGACAACAAATTCTTGGTGTAATGTTTTAGCTAGTGATGTGTATCTTTTATTGAACTCTTTCTTTTCCTTTGTTTTGAATTTTATGGTTGGCTCTTGAAGCAGAGTTTGTTTTTCTTTGCTCATGTTCGACTCTTTTGAGTCTTTGGGCTATAAGGGGTCTCTGTGTGTGAAGCCCCCCGTGTATTTGTAACAATCAATTGATTGTTCATTTTGTACTTTTATTTAAGGTGGTATATAGTTAATTTGCGATGAAAAGGGAAATATAAAGAAAAAAAAACCAAATACACAATAAATTCCTCACTAGCCTAAAATAAGCTCAATGATTAAAATTTATCCAATTCAGAACAATAAATTCAACCCACTCCACCTAAGA